AACTTTGGTAAAATCCAGATATCTTCTTGTAAAGAAATTTGTGCAAGCCTCGAATTTCATTTAGCAGGACACTAGTTAAAATGGACTAGTCCAGTTTTCCAAAAACACTAGAAACCAAACAGAAACTCCTCCCTCAATCACAATAGCTCCGGTATATATCAACAGATTCGTACTTGTACATGAAAAGGGTGCGTAAGGATATTAATTTTTGATTGTTTGTTTCCAAAAAGCATAGCGTGTTGAAAGATTTCATAAAATTATCTGGAAATCTACGCGCATGGTTTATACTCATTCAAAACTTGACCCTAGGAATTTGTATGAACACGTGGTATCTTTTATTAAAATAACTTTATTAATATTGAGAATTAATTTCAGCTGCGATTTGGAAAGGTCAACAAAGACTTTAGCAACACCAATGTTTTCGAGCATTCAGGGAAGTTCTACTCAATTTCTGAAAATCACCTTCCTCAAGAGATTGATATCTTTTCCCTTCAGAATCTAGGCGATTGGGATATCAACGGAACCTGGCATCGACCTTTCACCGCCCACCCAAAGGTTTTCTTGTTCAATACCTTGTACAGAAGTCCAACATATGCATGCATGTTCAACATGGAATAGAAAACACAGCTCAACTTGATTTCCTTTTATGAAATTTCTTGTTTGTTGCAGACAGCACCAGGTACTGGAGAGTTGGTTGTATTTGGGGTGGATGCAATAAAACCTTACTTGGAAGTGGGAGTTGTTTCTGGTATGTATTCATTTTCCCTTCATCTGACGCATGAAGAAAAAAATTATAAAAACTGGGAACAATTTTTTAGTTACTTATGTTACAATTGACCTCGCAAACTCAATTTTCAGCTGATGGAAAGAGACTAGTTCACAGGGCTGATCTCAAGCTCGATAGGTGCACCCTTCTTCACGACATAGGGGTCACAGAGAGGCAAGGGATATCACTATCGAAATTAAGAGTTTTGGAAATTAGCTAAATAAAGAAAAAAGTATACTACTGAATATAAGAAGAATTATCCTTTATTATTTATTTATTTCGCAGGTATAATGTGATCTTTGATTTGCCTCTAACAATAGACATACTGAGACTCATCAAAGGAGGCCCGTGAGTACTGACATTCTAATCAGAAATTTGAAGTGCCAATTAATTAGCTCTCATCTAAATATTATTACACCAATGAGAAGTACTTAATTTCTAATTTGTTTACTATGCATGTATATATATAGATTATTGATGTATGAGAAAGAAAAGTATGCAAGAATTGGGGTAATGCCCCGGTATGGCGATGCGGAATCAACCCGTTGGTTTGAGGTCGAACCAAATTGCACTTTTCACATTCTCAATTGTTTCGAGGAAGGAGACGAGGTAAGTAATTATTTGAACATAATTTTTTCGCTCAATTTAATTAAGAAATTACTTGTAGTACTAAACTATAACCACAGTGCCCTGCAAAGGGACTAAAATATTTTATTTTTTGGAGCAGGTTGTAGTGTGGGGATGCAGGTCCCTTGACTCAATCATATCAGAATCTTATGGTATGGATTTGGACAAATCTGAGTGGATTTCAGGAAGACTCAGGAGCAGAGGACCTGTTCAGCAATATACAACATTTTCGTCGAACGATGAATTATTGTTCAGCCGATTCTATGAATGGAGATTAAACATGAAGACCGGAGAGGTTACGGAGAGAAACCTCACGGGAACTAAATTCTCTTTGGAGTTTCCTATGGTCAATCCAAGTTTCAGTGGCTTCAAGAATAAATTTGGCTACACCCAGATGGTCCATAAACCGGCAAGTATTTCATCAGGTCAGTTATAAATTCCGAAATTCATTAATCTCATCTCTTGAAATCTTATTATAATCCTGACCATTTCATAGCAAGTAAGATTTCAATCTGGTTGTTTTAGGCATGCCGAAATTTGGAGGTCTAGCCAAGTTGTACTTCGATGAAAAGGTAATTAAAATGCTGGATAGCTGGTCCGATTTTATTATCTCATTATTGTTTCTTTACTTTCACTCGTAAATTTATGCTAATCCAGGAAGGGGAGCAATCGGAAGGGCATATAAAGGTGGAATACCATGAATTCGAGGGAAACACCTTCTGCACTGGATCTGCCTTCGTCCCTAAAGAAGGTGGTGTAGAAGAAGATGATGGTTGGATCATCACTTTTGTTCATGATGAAGACACTAATACATCCAAAGTAAGCTAATTTTATAGCTGGAAAGCAATAGCGTAGAACTGTTTTTGCAATTCTAAAGCTTGGTCCCTAATCATTAAAAATTCTTTTTCTTTTTTCTTCCTCCTAAACCAGGTTTACATAATTGACACAAAGAACTTCACAAGTGATCAGCCTGTTGCCAAAATTACATTGCCATGCAGAGTCCCATATGGATTTCATGGAGCATTTATGCCGGTCCCAATCCACAAGTAATTGGACTCATCATTTATGTCACAGATACATTTATGCAAACTGTAAAATAAAAAACAGTACTAAAAAATAGAATCACAACTCAGGGACAAAAACTGAGAAATGTTTTGATATGGGATATTTGCAAGTGATTGGTAAGAGCATTGTCAACCTATCCCCTCTTATTTAATCAGATATATATATATATATATATATATATATATATATATATATATATATATATGAAGTTATTGTATACTATCAGAAAATTAACAAATATCCAACAGAATTGTAGTGGGAAAATAAAAAATATAGAACAGTCCAATAATATAATAACATGTAACTTTTATTAACTGAATTAACTTAATGGTTAAGTACGTTCTTAAATATGCAGAAGAAATAAATCCCTCGATGCATACCGACAAAATTATGAATAATATTATAGTGAGATTCAAAAAAGAAAAATTATATGGTGACGTGATATTTTTACTGATAGAATAATCGATAAAGTTATTGATGAAATAATTATATCGGTCATTTCATTGGTTATATTTAATTTATGACTTAACGATCTATCATCCTGCCCCCTCCTTCATTTCTCTTTCTTCCTTGTGTATTTTTTTCTGCAACAATTAATCACCTTCCCCCCCTAATCTCAACATAATTCAACTACCCACAATAAATTCGGTCACCACAACATTCTGTTTGTCAACATCAGTGTTCTGAATAAAATTTTATTAAGGATTCTCTACCTTAAATAAACAAATCTACCATTTTTTTTTATTTGAACACAATTTTAAAATGTTGTCATAACCCAATTTTTTTAAAAAACAATAAATAACAAAAAAATAAATGAATGAATGAATGAAAAATAATTTGAAAATTGGGTTAAGACAATACAAATTGAAAGTTTGAGGACTAATAAGGATTAAATTACAAATTTGGGTGTCAATTTGGTCAAAAGTTGAAAGAATTAATAAGTTTGGAGACTTAATTAAACTTGAAATTAGTTTAATTAATGAAATCACGGGCTTATTTGAAGAAATACCAAAGTTTGAAACTGATTTGGATTGAAATTACAAGAAATTATATCCCAAGGACCAAAATAAATAGTTGGTGATACCATAGGCATTACATAGAAATATAAAATTATTCTTGATATTTTACTTAATAGTTTAAGTTTTTTAGTTGAAATGATTATTTGACATGATTTTAGAGTTTTACTAATTAAATAATCAACGAGTTTAAATCTCACTATTTTATTTTATTATGCAAGTTTTAAATCTAAAAAACTTATAAAATTATTTTTCATACTCCATGTAAGTTTTTAGATTTAGATACTTATTTTACACATGGTAAATGCCTTCATATTTTTTATTTTTTTAACAAAAAATAACAAATCAAAATAATAAAAAATAAAAGAATAAAAAATAATTTAAAAATTGAATCAAGACAATATAAATTGAAAATTTAAGAACTAATAAGGATGAAACTATCAATTTGAAAGTCAAATTTGGTAGAAATTAAAATAATTGATAAGTTTGGAAACTTAATTATACTTTGGATTAGTTTAATTAATGAAATTATGAGCTTAATTGAAAAATTGATAAGTTTAGGAACTTAATTGAACTTAAAATTAGTTTAATTAATGAAATCAAGAGCTTAATTGAAGAAATACCAAATTTTGGGGTTGATTCAGGAAAATATTGCGAGAAATTAACGTCCAAGGATTAAGGTGAAATGGCGGGAGTACTATAGGGAGTTTAATTGATTTTTTCAGGGGTGATTTTGAAAGAAATAAAAGTTGAAGGGTTAATTAAAGACTGAATTGCATAATTCAGAATGCAAGGACTTGTTTGTAAATGGAACTAAAATCTAGGGGTCCAATTGCAATTGATCTAGGGGAAAAATTAAAAAAAAAAAATTCCATGAATAAGGGTCCAATTGCTAAATTTCAGGACTTCAGGGGGGCAAATTGAAAATAGCCATTTTAGTGGAAAAACGGCGCCGTTTCAAAGAAGACTTCATCTTCTTCAGCAGACGAGACTAGAACACGGACGTACAGAGGAGAACAGAGGGAACAAACACAAGGGAGAAGAACCAGAGAACATAAACAGAGCACACACAGGGACGAGGAGAGAATACCAGAGGACAACGAAGATACACACAGAACAGAAAAGGAAGAAGAAGAAGAAGCACGGGACAGAATACAGAAGAATTAACAATCGAAGACAGAAAATACAGAGAGAGAGAGAGCCAGACGCAGAGAGAGACAGAGAGAAAACGGAAACAAGGACCAACAAAGATTGCACGGATAGAAAACAAAAGAAAAGAAAGAATCAGAGGGAAAGAAAACGAAAGGAGGAACAGAGGGATCCAAAGCAAGCCACCGTCCTCGTCTTCGCCTCCCTGCACCAGGTAAGTTCTTCATTTCCCCCGTTTTACAACTTCAATTCACGAGACGCACTGCAATTTCTTTTTTTTTAGTTTAATGTGGGTATCCGGGCCAGCTTGTGCATAACTCGACTAATCCCACGGGCCCTGAAATTAACGATCATATAAGCCTTCAGTGGCCATCATATGAGCAACCCAGGGCTCGAACCTGAAACCATAGAAGAAGCAAACCTTTTGGTTCCAAGCTCTTACCACTGAGCTACCACCTAGATGGTTGACGCAATCGGTGAATTGACGCACTGCAATTTCAATTCACCGGTTAGTGTATATGCACGTGTGAGTGGATTGACGCTTACTGCTCCAAGCCAGTCAGGTCACTAGATTGGGCAAGTAATCAGGTTGGACGAGCTGGGTCTAGTCCTATCCAACCTGTACATACTAATCTAACCCAGCTGAAAAAATAAAAGAAAAAAACAGAGAATAAGCCCAATTCTCTTTATTTTATTTTTTTTATTTTAATAGGTGGCCAAATAAGCTTCTTTTTATATCAAAAAATTTCAAATAAATTCATGGACCTTTTTGAATTTATTTGTGAGTCTCACTTTTTTCACACAATTTTATTGTATATTTAATTTGTAAAATTTTACTGTAAAATGTGAATATGGTATGCGATACATACCTGTTTTTTAATAAAAAAACAACAAAAAAATATGTATGATTTGCTTTAAATTCAAATTTTAATGGTTTATTCACTGGTACTAGAGTCAGGAATACTATGCTTTTTTGTGTTACATAATATTTACCAACATTAGAGTTGGAAGTATTTGTATTCGAATATTTATTGGTGTCAGAGTCAGAAATATTACAAGCAGATTATCGATAACATAATTTAACAAATTCTTAGTAATTTAAGACAAAACCAGTACTACAGCCTACCTCAAATAAGACGTTTAAAAAGTGATAATATATTCTCTTTTGCGTAACCCAGTTCGATTTCCTAGTAATCATAATATTAAGTATGACTTTTTAAATAAGATTTTTTCTATTTAAAAATAAGATATCAAAAATTAATTTTTTAAAAAATTAATTTTTAATGATTTAAAAATAAGATATCAAAAATTAATTTTTAAAAAAATTAATTTTTAATGATTGTCATGATATTAGGTATAATATTAATAATAAAATAGATAATATTATATTGTTGGTATTGACACTCCACATAATTCTAGTCAGGATCCGCCACTGTAAGAAGCTATATGCATGTTAATAAACATTAACTATATTCCTGAAGGCTTAAAAAGATCTGAGTTTTAGCGAGTATATATATATATTATAATGTTATTAAGATTTAAATCCTAAGAGTATATATTTTCTGAAAACTAAAGTATATTCCATTGGTATTGTAACTACGAATGCATCCAAGAAAATAAAGAAAACATTCTGATGGACTGACGGAAACGTCAGGAGGCATTTTAAAAGGCCTAAGATGCTCATAATGAGCACACTATTACTGCCCCAGTTACACCAGTCTAATCCAGATAACGACGTTATTGGCGTTTTTTTTTTTTTTTGTAAGTTCAAATTAATCATTGAAGAAAAAAACTTCTCACTAACCCACTTCCGCCACCTCTGCCACTTCCACCGCCTCCCCCTAAACAATTTAAAGTTAGCAATTAACAGTTAATACCAAGCAGAAGCATTATTACCAGTACGGGGAATTTTCTTGTTGGATTTACAGCCTTTGCAGGTGTTGCTTGCAACCTTCTTTCAGAGTTACTAGCTATTGCTAAAGGGCTGAAGCTAGTTTGGGATCAAGGATATCGTAAATTAATCTGTCACTCAGACTCAAAGGATACTCTTAGATTGTTATCTGCTAATCAAGTGGGTTTCCATAAGTATAGGACCCTTATTTTAGAAATTACAGAATTACTGAGTAGAGATTGGACTGTCAGAATTGAACATACATTTAAAGAGGCTAATTTTTATACTGATTTTATGGCAAAGCTTGCAACTACCTGTGACAATGGTTTGATAATCTGGGATGAGCCTCCTCAAGGATTGCAACAGCTTCTTCTAGCAGATATCATGGGAATTAGCTTCGCTAGAATTGTTTAGTCTTTTCTTTTATTTGTTTCCACTATAACAAACAAAAAAAAAAAAGCAAAAGCATTATTAATGCTAAGAGGAAGATCAATGAAGTATAACTTTAGTGTGAGTCAAAGAAAATAAAAGTTCACATTAAGAAGTAAAAAACATGTGAAATCTCTCATCTATGACATAAAAAAAACATTACAAAAGGGACTGTTAATATAAAGAATATATAAAACAACCTTAACCTGTCAAAACTTCAAAGATGTGTTGCAAATATTTCAATTGGTAGCCCTAAAATTAATTGTTATTTTTATTTTAATTTTTAATTTTGAATTTATGCATTTTGATCTTTAATTGACCAGCAAACTTTTAATTTCTTTAATTTGATCCTTGGTCAGTTTCAGTCCTTACATTCACATGCTTTTTTCAATTTGATTCTGAATTTTAGATTTTTTCAATCAAGTCCTTAATTGCTAGTAAAACTTCAGTTTTTATGCGATTAAGCCTCTAATATGAGCAAATTAACTTTAAAAAATTACAATTTTGTTCCCCCTAAATATTAATTTTTTCAAATTAAAGCCTAAATTGACTTCAAAAATCAATTTTTATTATAATTAAGCCCTCAATAAATTCAATTAATACTTGAAGAATTCTAATTGAGTCCTTAAACATCCAATTTTGAATTTTCCACCTTAAATTGAATTTTTCTTTGCCAATAAAGCTTTTATCAGTCGAAAATATACTATCAAATTTTTCAATCTTGTATATTTTCATCTTTATCAACCAATCTTCATCAATTTCTTGGATATTTTGGTATATTCTTCTTATTTATATATTTATATGAATTCAGTACTTAAAATCTTCTAACTGTGAAAACTCACATGTATGTTTAATTCATTAATATTATTTATTGTGAAATTTTTATAAGGCAGTTTTTTTAGATGTGTTTTTGTTGTGGTAGTGGATTTATTATGAGCAGATAATTGTTAGCTTGTGGATCATAACAAACAAAACAAAATAAAAAATTTGCAATTTTCAATGAAATTACAGACGAAAAGGCAATTTCATTACCATTTTTATAAGCAAATCCACCGTGATGTTTGCAGCCATTCCAGAGTTCTAGAATTGGTGGTAAGACTTACATAATGTGTAGGAACTTGAAGACAGAATTGCCGATGGAATATTCTATTAGACCATTAAACAGTGACAAAATTTCTAAAAAAAATGGGTTGTAAAAGCTGACTTTTAGGCGCGAGTATTTTGTTGACGAGTTCGTCAATATTTAAAATTGCAATCCTTGCCGATTTGCTCTGAGAGGAAATATAATTAATGATTGTCAACAGTTAAAAAGAAATTCTAGCGGAAAGGGACAACGAGTTTTTATACTTTAAGCACATTGGACTCCTAAAATCAAGGACAACCAACCAATCACATAGAACTTCCTCACAGTGACGTACAATAAATTAATGATTCTGCTACTATCCCTCCTTCTGGCATAATAGGTATGAAATCAATTTCTCATCAATCTTTGTTCATTGATTCAGCCGTTTCTAATCATATGACGGGGGTATCTCAAGTACTCTTAGCAAATACTCAGCCACTGAAATCCCTTCATTCATAGTTTTAAACCTGATTTGATAATCGAGCTGATATAATAATTGAATTACAGATCATATGGATCAACCAAATAAAAAATATATCCATCCATTCATCTACCACTTTTTACCTGTCTTTCTAATCTGTATTATATGATATTGAAGATGCATTTTTCCTTATCAATCAGGCATCTACAGTCACATTAATTCTATTACTTGGTTTTCATTGATTAAACCTATTTAGATCTTATCATCTATTGATTATAATAATAGATGATTAGATTCTTTTAATATATTGTTAACAAGAACATAAATAAGACAATAAACAGAGCTTAGATTCAATCAAAACACAGGCAAGAAACATAAAAGAATTGACATATAAACTAAACAGAAATAAAGCAAGGAACAAGAATCTATTTTACATAAACAAAAAGCTAGTGAATTAAACAACCTATTTTACATCTATATATGAAAAGAAATGAAACCAGTGAAGAACAAAAATCTAAAAGAGAAGAAAACCGAAGCGAAACAAAAAATTATTTTATATCAAACCAGTGCTTTCATAAACAAAAAGCTAAATAAAAACAAGTAACAACAGTTTCATCTGACCTTGATTTACAGATCTTAACTGAAGAGAGCCAAATCAAGAAAAGAACTCAAACACCTTGCAAAAACAAATTCAGAGTTTGTCGAGGGTCTCTTCTTATTATTCTAACCAAAAGAGAGATGGGGACTTACCTGGTATGGCTTGCGTGTAGTTTAAATTCCTCTACAACTGATATGGCTATGAACTTTGAAGATGAAGATTAGGTTTTCTAATTCTTTGAATTGTGATTCTGTGTATCTTCATATTGCAATGCAAACGATTTGGTTAATTGATAGTAAAAAGCTAAAAACAATGTCGTTTTACTTTTATATATATATATATATATATATATATATAAACAGCCAGGTCTCAGCTTGGTTTACCCGAGTCGACCGAGTTTTGATGGGCCAAATTCTTAGCTGGTTTTTCATCAACTCGACCCTATTCTAGCCCTTGGTCTACCCACCGCACCGGGTCAGGTTTTAAAATTATGCCTTCAATCAATTTATGCAGTCAATAGTGAAGAAATACCTCTTACTGGCATTGGCACTACACCTTTCAAGAACTCTAATTTTTATGATACTCTTTATGTTCTTAAATTACATGTCAATCTAATCTCAGTTGGTTAACTTGTTGAATATAATTTTTTATTTGCTTTTGGTCCTTTCGGTGTTATCCAGGATCTACAAGCTTGAAAAGTGGTGGGCACAAAACAAGGACGGCTATTCATATTGACATCAGACGCAATAAACAAAAAGCTCCCATCAAATTGCTTCTTATCTCGATCAACATCAGATATTTTTTTTAGCAAGTAAATTTGTGGCACCTTTTTTTATCTTCAACTTGGCCATTCGCACGCTCAATGTTTGGAATGCTTGCTTTATTCAGATATATTTCTCCTAAAATGAATGTGAGAGCTATTTTCTTTAATACTACTTGTCAAAGTCGTTCTCTTTCAAAATGGGCTAAATTACCTTTTTCCTCTGGTGCTATGAA